CCACTGGATCAGAAACTGTGGGGGTGGGGCCCAGCAGTCCACATTTAACAAGCCCTCCAGGTGATTCTGAAGCTATAATTTACAAACCAACCACTGGTAGATAATGTTTAAAGATGAGGCCACAAACTCAAATGCATAAAGGACCATAGGGGCCGAAATAAAAGAGCCACTGGACAATAGCAGGGACTGTGAGGCAGTGGAGAGAGTGTGCCCTGACTAAATGGGCCAGCAGCTTCTCAGTTCCAGCCAACTACTGCCAAGTATGAACCCACGTGGATCTGGTACTGGCAGAGCTTCTGATTTTTCAAGAGAAACACAAAATCTTGATTTTTATGTGAAATCTCCCAATTTTAAAATGTTGATTTAATTTTCTTAACATAGTAAGGGCCAAGGAGATTAGCCTTGAAAGCAAAATTCAGCTGTGGACTGCCATTTTGCAGCCTCCATTCTGAGTTGCCCTGGACCTCCATCATGACATACTGTACCCACAATGCTCTTGTCTTTCTCCTAACATTGAACTCACACTGCCTTTCCCCACTTGGCAGACTCCTATTCATCCTTCAACACCCAACTCAAAGACCACTTTGACTCTATCTCATTCTCAGTTCTCTGCCCCACTTTCTACCTCTCCACTAAGAAGGTAGAGAAAAAGCAAACACAGAGCCAACGAATTGACATGTAGAAGAAGGTAGCACCAAGGAGAAAGATATGGATAAGTTATAAAACAGGCTTTTCCCACAGAGGAAGAATTATGACCTCTTTTTGGAAAGTTACCCTATTGTTGCTTGAAAAAATCACTTAGATAAGGACACAGATCCCACTTAACCAGAATCTAATAAAATAAAGTTTTAAAGGGGCAAGTATAAAGAAACATAAGTGCAGAATTCATAGGCTAGATTAAAAAATAGTCGGTACAAAAATACCTGGGGATTTGAGCTGCAAGTTCAGAGTGATGAGACTCTCATGAAAAAAGGAAATGCATTCACAGATTTCAGTATTAGAAATAAATAGTCACATAGCCCTGCTCCACTCTTAGCTGGCCAGACCTCCCAAGAGCATTCCGAATGGTCCTTAATATTAACTTCTGTGGGTCAAAGACCCAGAGAGCGACTCAGGGAGAGTGGCCTTAGGTCGGGAGGAAACACAAAGCCAAATCACGGGGACAAGTGAAGGAACCTGGAATGTTTACCCAGAAGAGGAGAAGACCTGGATGGGTGATCATGATTTCTGTCTTTGAGCACCTGACAGGTTGCCATGTGATTTGAGCTGTGTTGCCCTCAAGGGTGTGACCAGGCCCTGTGAGTGGAAACACTATGATTTTATCTCAACACTGGGGAGAACTGTCTATCGAGGAAGGAGCTGTCCTGAGAGGTGACGAATGCCCTTTACTGAGGGAGGTAGAGCAGAGGGAGGATCACTCCTACAGAGGGAGAGTGACAAAAGGGCTGGAACAGAAAGCCTAGTGGACATTTGTTGACTTATTTCACCCTTTTTCTTGTAAGAGCACCCCAGTTTTTCCTGGGGAACCACCTCTCACCCATTCTCTGTCTCATGTGTCAGGTAGAGTTGAGTGTACACCTGGCTTCAGTGGTGGGTGTGTTTCCCAGGCCTAGTCAGTCCACACTGCAGCCCCTGGCTACAGGTGCCCAATCAGGGGTGTTCACATGACCCACACTGGGCCAATCAGAGCCCATTAGACCCAATTCTAGGGAAAGGGAGCTCTCACTTTCCGCTGAACTTGAAGCAAGTAAGATGTAAGCCTGGAGTTTCCAGGGGCCATCTGGACATCATATAGAGAGACAGGCTACAAAAGAGCCCTTCACTGCCCCTTCCCTCCCCCACAAAAAAGAGGGGAAATTGGAGCAGAGCTGCAAAGAGACTGAATTCCTTTGTGCCCTTAAAGCCCCGCATGCCTGAAGCCAGGCTTGGCTCCGGAGAGTTCCCTCTGGTAAGTTCCCTTTCTTCCCTCTAGCTGATCTGGGTTTCTGTCATTGGCAACCATAAGAGTTCTGATCCATACAATGGCCTCTAAGATCTCGTCCAACTCCGTTCTGCTGTGGTGGATCCACACCTCACACTTAGCAAGGGCTGACTGCATGCATAAGTCCATTTGCCCAGACGAATCCTAAAATAGCTTCTGAAATTTCAAGTGCTGCCTCTATTCATAAGAATAGATTCCAGTGCAAAAGGGGAAACAGAGAATCATGAAAAGGTAACTTATTGAGATGTGGGCAGACAAGGCAGCTACCCCAGACCCAAGCCCAGGAAGGACGCCTGGCCTGGAAGCTGCTCCCGCCTTCTGCAGATGCACTGCCAGAGCGTGACAGGGCAGGGCGGTGAAGGAACACCCACCTCAAGTGCTAGGACCCTCTGTCAGGAACGAGGTGGGAGCTCCATTCTTCGGGATCACTGGCAAGTCACCATTCAATGAGTACCTGCTGGATGCCAGGCCTGTGCTGGACATTTGGCCTACATCTACTCTTTAAAATTGTCACCATCGCCATTTCCCAGGTGAAAAAGCTGAGGCTCAGAGAGACTTGCCCAGGGTCACAGTCAGTGAGAGGCGCTGAGACAGACTCCCAAAGCCCAGCCATACTGCCTCCTGCTGGTAATGACAATGGGCCCAAAGTTGCCAAGTCTGGGATCTCCTAGCAGCTTCTCAGGCTTTATCTCCTCATCTATAAAATGGATGAGTGAGAAACCCATTCCCCAGCCTGACCAGAGACCAGCACCCACAGTAATTTTGAGGACTGCAGGAATTATTAATACGTAAGGAGTGCGACCTCGGAGCCGAGATTATCTACAACTCATGTGACAGAAAAGGGCCGTGCTGTGCTAAATCAGCCAGCCAGGCCCCGTCCCCATCGTTCTCCTGGCCCACAGGGGCTGGTTCATTTCCTTTGTTCCATAGGCACAGGCCTGGTAACAAGGCAGCCAGGAGCTTAGCTGTAGACATTTTTTCATTATTTTCCACCCTGTTAACCTCCATCACAAGTGAGGCTGCTGTCAGCCTAAATGAGAACTGAAAAGATTTATCTCACTTGTCCCCGGGCTCAGCTCAGGAAAAAGACCCTTCATTTCCTAAAGGCTTGGATGACCTTTTTTCTGTGAGTCACTCCCACCCAGGAAAAACGATGTGACAGCAGCAGCAGGCAGAGGCTTATGAGGGGACCAAGAGACCTGAATCACTTCAGTTTGGCTTTGAAAAGCACTGTGTGATTTTTTTATTATTATTATTGCACTGTATTTACCTTCCTAATTATGTTTCCTTATGGAGATATAAAACAGACTATGTTTCATAAACATGACCCCAGGAGGAGACCGGCGCATATTGTGTGGAGGGAAGAAACTAGTCTGCAATTACAGTTTTGCTATAGAAGTCATCCTCAGAGTGGACAATCCCAAGACAGACCATGGCGAGATTATTATATTTCAAATCAACTTCTCCTCTTTCTGTGCTTCTAGCAATTCCCAGGCCTCCAAATCCCTAAAATGGGCACCCGACAAGAACAGATGAGCTGGATTATTTTAGTATGATGAGATAATACTACCTTGGCATGATGATAGCCAGCTTTCCTGAGCACTTACTCAGTGCCAGGCACTGTTGTCCATGCTTTACTTGGGATTAACAACCCTTTTAACCCTCCCAACTGCCTTGTGGGTATTTCTGTCCTCCCCATCTCACAAATGAGGAAGCTAAGGCTAGGAGAGTTTAAGGAACAAGACTAATGATGGAAAGCTAATGATGGAACAAGGATTATGAACCCAGGAATTTCAAGAATTCTGGACCCAATGACCACACCCTACCCCTTGCCAATAGCACCTCCCTTCTTCGCATACACCATCTCAGTTAACCCTCACACTGCCGCTGAGAGGTAGTAGATCTTAGCCCCATTGGCGAGACAGAGGATGGAGCTCACGGAGGCTACTGACTTGCCCACTTTACAGAGGAGGAAACTGAATGAAGTTGACAGAAATGCATTCAGTTCTACAGATGCTTATGCAGGACCAGGTGTTTGCCAGGCACTGAGCAAGGGGCTTGGGATACAGACACCTCGGGGGCATAAAACAGAACTGCTTCCTCTACACTCGGCTTCGGGGCATTTATGTGGGTAAAACCTTTCTGAAAGCAACTGAGCAGCCTGTTAAAAGACTTAAAAATAAGCAAACTTTTGACCCCAAAATTCCCATTGTAGAAACCTAAGGAAATAGCAGTGACTGTGATAAAGGTATATATACAACCTTGCTCACAGCAGCATTATTTATAAGAGTAAAAGAATGGAACAACCTAAGTGTTCAACAATAAGGGATTGGTTAAATAAATTAGGGTGCATCTATAGAATGGAAAACTATGTAGTCATTCAAAAATGGTATAGAAATAGAATTGGACACTTGAAACCTATGTAATTTTACTAACCATTGTCACCCCAATACATTTAATTAAAAAAAGAAAAGAAATGTATTTATTGACATGCGAAAATTCTGTAATAAAGTGTTATATAACTTTTTATAAGCAGATAGTAAAATCATACATTTGGGGAAAGATATCATTTGGGGACAGTGCACAAGTACACTGAAAAATGTATAAATATGAGCACTCACAGAAAATGTATTTGCATATGTACATATAAAGAAATACCCAAAGTGGTTACTGCTGAGCAATAACATTTCAAGTGATTTTAATTTTTAGATGTGTGCTCATGTCCATGTTTTCAAATTTCATACAATGAATGTATACTACCAACCCAATCATGCAAAGGTTTTTATTTTTGTGGTGGTTGCTAAAGTGGCTGAGACCACCAGGCACACCCAGAATTGAAACTCAGGGTCTGGGATGCTAGGTCTGGGTTGCTAAGCCCAGCTCTGGCCCCTTGCACCCTTCAACACACCTGCCCTCCTGGTCCCATGTCCCCAAGCTACATTCCACCCTGGCTGGCACAGTGTTGCCATGGCCAGCCTGGGGCAGAGACCCTGGCAGGTCAGGTGGCCTGCTTGCCCACCTTTTTGAAGAGTCTGATGACATCCTCACTGATCTGGGAGAGGCGGACGATGACATTGTTCATGAAGATGTCATTGAGGGTGGCATGGTCTCGGCTCTCCCGCCTGGTCTGATGCAGGACCAGATACCAGCAGTTCACGGGTGAGAGGAGGTACTGGTCCTTCCTGTGGGAACCAAGACAGCTCAGGTTGGCTTCATTGGAACTGTCACCCAGGTAGTGTTCTACGTATCACCCACCATGGCTCTTTTGGCCCTCATGGGGCCCTTTCAAGCTGAGTTTTGTTCTAACACTTTTACAGCTGGGGAAACGGATACTATGAGAACTGAAGCGATCTTCCCAAAGACACAGAGCAGGGCTGTGGCCCACACCCAGGCCTTTGTCTCTAGGTCCTATCCCATTTGCTACATGCATCTCTCCCTTCTGGGAAGCAGCTGCCTTCCCTGGGGCTAAGAAATACTAAACCAATTGTGATTTGAAATATCTGTATGAGTTCTAGAACTATGCATTGAAAAGAACAAAAAGTGGACCCCTGCCTTCCCCTTCCCTGCCTCTCCCAACTTCTGGGGTCCCCTCAGGCTCTTAACAACTTTTGTACACACCCCCAGGTCAGTTTCTGTCTCTTAGCCTCTTGGAAACACATGCTTTTACCCCTCCATGGAGCTGCAGGCCTGAAGGGTTTCAGGTTCTGTATTTGGGGCTAGGGGTTTAGGAAAGCTTCTCTGAGTAAAGTACATACAAGACAAATAAATCTTTGTCTTATAATGATCGATAGATTCTTAGCATCTTCTAGCCAGGCATTATGCTAAAACAGGGGTTCTCCACGTGTGGTCCTCAGACAAGCAGCAGCAGCAGCACCTGGGATCTTGTTAGAAATGCAGATTCTGAGCCCCACTCCAGACCTGCTGAATCAAAAACTCTAAGGTGAGCCTGGCAATCTGGGTTTTAACAGACCCTCCAGGAGACGCAGATTCACGCTAAAGTCTGAGCGCTTGGGAAATGGGATGTTTCCAAAAAATGAAATGGGGGACTACCTCTCTAGTCTATACTTTACCAAGCACCCCTGTTAGCCTCAGTAAAGGGTGTGTGTATCCTATTCTCCAGGAAGAAAGAGGGAAGGGTAATTAGAAACCAATCAAACCCATAATCCCATGTGGCCATCTTGCCTGCTAACCCTGACTCTTCCCTGACTCCGCTTTTCAGGGTGGGGAGGAGATGTTGGAAAGGCAGGATGTGGGGGGAGAGGCCCATCCTCCACCTGAGGGTGGTCTGCTCAAGGTCCCCCAGGCCTGCCCACCCATGCCCTAAGGGTAGGTAGGCCATCTCTGAAGGCTGGCCGTAGTTACCTCTCAGCCTCCCACTGTCAGCATTTTTGAGGAAGGGAATTCTGCTGACTCTCACTCTGACAGCATCATCACCCCCTGAAAGCCACGTGGACGTGCTGGAGGGTGCAGCCCTGAGGGCCTCCGGGCACTCACAGCACCCCCACACCCTCACCCCACCCAAACCCTGGGCTTAGGAAGGATAGGTGAGGAGGTGCCACTTGACTTAGAAAAATTTTCTTTCTGTCACCAAATAGACTGAAAAGGTAGCAGGAATTTGCGAGAATGGAATTTGGTTTAGAGGATAGATGTATTAGAAACTTTCTAAGGAAAAGGGAAGCAGCAGGCTGTGATGGGAAAAAGAAACAGATTTCTTCCTTGCTGATAGCCTACAGAAAAAACCAGAACACTAAAATTCAACCACCCGGCCTGAGTCCCTCAGCATTTATTCCGTGTCAGGTCTCAGGTGGGCTCTGGGGGTCCTTGACACAGTCCTGCCTTGGAGGGGCGCCTTGTCAAGCGGCTGAGGCGGAAGAAAAGGATTACAGTGGGAGACGATACAGCATCAGTTCTGTGTAAGAAGTTGAAGAAGGCGCTGCCCTCCTGTACCCTCCAGTCCCAGACACACTGTCCCCTTTCGTTTTCACGCCAGGTGCTTTCCCACCTGGGGCCTTCGCTCACGCTGCTCCCTCCATCCGGATGTGGTAGCCCCTGCTCTTCTCTTGACTCCCTCCTTCTCTTCCTCTAGGTCTCAGTTTAAATACCTCCCCAGGTAGCATGCCTGTGACCACACTCTAAGGCACAGGTCCTCAAAGTGTGGCCCCGGACCAGCAATGCCAGCATCACCTGGAAACCGATTGGAATGCAGGGCCACCCCAGACCCTTTCATAAGAAACCCTGGGGGTGGGCCCAGCATCTGTCATTTAACCAGCCCTCCGGGTGGTTCTGATATATGTTCAAGTTTGAGAATGTCTGCCTTAAGGAGTTTCCAGCCCCCACCCCTCACCCTAATGAAAGTTTTTTTCAGAGCAAGGACTGTTTCTGTTTTAGTCACATCTAGTGCCCAGCAACATAGAAGATGACACCTAGGAGATGCTATGGAAGAGAGACGCATGAAAAAAGATCACATTCATGCTGGGTCTTGAAAAATGGGTAGGAGTTTTCCAAAAGGGCAGAGAAAGACGGAATTGTAGGCAGAAGGGACCATGAATACAAAGACAGAGTAGTAGTTCAGTAGAGCGAGAATTCCATATGTGGTTGGAGGATTGGTAGGACATGAAGCTGGGGAGACAGGTTAAGGAATTGATTGGGGGGTGGGGACATTGAATGCCAGGCTAATGAGCTGGGACTTGATCCTCTAGGCCACATGGTTCTCAACCCGGGTTGCACACTAGAATCACCTGGGGAGCTTTTAGAAAACAGCAAGACCCAGACCCCTTCCAGAACCAATAAAGTCAGAATCGCTGGGGGTAGAGCCTTGATACTGGTATCTTTTAAGAATTCTCTAGAACATTCAAATGTGCATCCAGGGTTATGAATGCCTGCTATAGGCAGTAGGGAATGATGAAAGTTATTTAAGCAGAGGTATGATCTAACCAATGTGTGTCTTAGAAAGATCATTGAGGGCAGAATGAAGGGTAGATGGATGGGTAGTGGGTGGATGGATGGGTAGTGGGTGGATGGATGGATGGATGGATGGATGGATGGATGGATGGGTGGATGGATAAATGGGTGGATGGATGGGTAAATGGGTGAATGGATGGGTAAATAAATGAGTAGATGGTAGATGGGCGGATGAATGTAGGCATAGCATGGGACTGGAAACAGGAAAACCAGTCAAGGGGTGACCTTTTTCCAGGAGAATACAGACTATGAGGGCCTGGGTAGTGGCCAGGGATGGCTGGACTTGAGAGACTCCTCAACAGGAGAGTAGATAATCTTGAAGACATCCTGGAAGTAGACAGTAGGAGGGAGGCAGGAAGGAGGGGTAGATGTGATTCTAAGGCTCAGATCTCAAGCGACTGTATGCTGATGACATGAACCAAGATAAGAACTGCAAGGAAAGAGGTAAGTTTGGGCTGAAAATACTTTCCACATCCCATTTTTCACTGCTTCCTAGGTGGTGGCAGATGGAAATGGAAAGATTAGAGTAAAGGAGAGATGAGATAATTGAGCTGTTACCTAAATTACTTCAGGGGCTTAACTCAGCCTGGGATGCAAGAATTGAACAGCATCAGAGAATCAAATGTGCAAAATTTATGGAAATCACAGCCAGAAGGTGAGTTTTGAGGGGAAGGAGATCTTGAAAGGGTGCAGAAGTGCTGGGATAGCTTGGAAACCATTAATTAGGTCACCTGGCCAGGGAGATTAGATAAGAGAAAGAGCAGAAAGATCAGAGCTTTCCTTATGTGACGCTGTGGGCAGGAGGCAATGCAGCCTTAGGTGGAATTACAGGAGGAGGCAGAAAGAGTAGAGGCAAGGAGGAGAAAGTTACCGGAAAGCAACTGAGGACTTGTCAAGCTACCGTGAGCAGCTGCTGGGAAGATGAAGGTCTTGGTTCATTCTGGCTTTCACTCAGGCACCATCTGTCTGTGTATATGTGCCAGGCACAGCTAGGTGCTGTGGATGCAGCAATGATCAGAGCGGGCAAGACCCTGCTCCCCCAAGCCTTCCACTCGAGTAAGGGAGACACACAAGGACACAGAAGATGATGACACAGCCTCATAAACACAGTGACGAGAAAGAGGCTGTGGAGCAGAGGAGGTGGTGGTGAGGTGAACATGGAGGGCTTCCTGGAGGAAGAATATTCTAGACTGAGAACTAAAGGCTGGAATGGAGTTTGATAGGGCAGAGCTTTCTATGTGGAGAAATGTGATGAACAAAGGCCCAGAGAGAGGCTGGAGAGAGCATGTGGGTGAAATGCACATAGCTGAGGGGGGCCCGAGCGTGGTGTTGTGGGATGGGGGAGGGAATGATAAACGAGGTTGGAGAATTAGGGAGAGGCCACATAGCCAAGGGCCTTTAAGTCCCTTTAGAGAATTTGAGCTTCATCCTGAGGTTGGCAGGGAGTCATCGAAGGGTTTAGAGGAGGGGGGTGAAAAGGTAAAACTGCATTTTCAAACTTTTACTCTGGCTACCATGAGGAGGACAGGCTCAAGCGGGACAAGAAAGAAGGTGAGGGACCCAAGAACTACTCGGTGGTAAACTGATTGAATGGAGTTAGGATTGGGGTTGGGAGGGAGAAAAAGATCTACAGGACCACTCCCAAGGTATCCAGGTTGGGCCCTGGGAGAACGGAGGCGGCATTTACTGAGATGAGGAACAGGTCAGCAGAGAGCAGGGCGGGAAGACGATGAGCTCGACGCGAACACGACAAGTCTAAAGAGCTTATGGAGTGTCCAGATGGCGGTACCCGGGCTAGAGCCGACACAGAGCTCACACACTAGTGGGGGAGATGATAACCATGAGAGAGTCCAGCAAAGGTGTGTGAAGTTACAACTGCAGAAAGTGCTAGAGAGGAGGGCGTGGTGCCACGAGACCCCGTAACAAGGGAACCTGGCCTGATTCTACAGGTCACTAAAGTGTCCCTGAGGAAGCGCTCTTTTGGCTGGGCTCCGAAGGAAGAGCTGGAGTGAGCTAGGTGAAGAGGTTCAGGAGAGTGGACTCGCGGGGAGAGGGTTCCAGGCACAGGGAACAGAATGGGCAAAGGCTCATCGGGGGGCAGACAGCTTGGTGCATTTAAGGAACTGAATAACGACCAGTGTGGCTGGAGGCCAGGAAGAAGCAAGGAGAGGAGGGGGCAGATGCCGGGTCTTGCAGGCTCTGGCCAGCACCCGGTCACCAT